AAGTGGCATGTCTGTCATGTGAGTGACAGAGTCAAGTCTAGGGAGCAAACCATTAGAGGGGATTTGGAAATACAGCACTGTTTGCAAATATATATTTTCATCTCATGACATCAGAAAAAGCGGCAAAAAAAAACAAGCAGACAAACAAAAAACAAGAAAACAACCTCAAACTTTCAATAATAATAGTAGAACCAATCCTGGTACCCTACAGAAAGAAGGGCTCTGTGTCTGTTGTGAAATAGCTGTATGGAAAGCTAGAAAATTCTGTGTATTCTCTCTTCTTGTCATGATTTGTGTGTGCTGGTAAACAAGTCTCTTTAACGAGAAACAAAAGGAGATCAATCCAAGAGAAGGTTAAGAGGCAGCAGAGAGATCAAACTGTGAAGTTCAAAAGGTGAGAAGATGCAACTCTCTTAAAAGAGCGACTGGGGCTGATTCTTTGTTAACTGGAGCCTCCAGAAGTCTCTTTTCGAAATAGTTGACCTGGTCTGACAACAGCCTGTGGGGGTTGATGCGTAAAGATGATGATTTGTGTGAAACGATCTGCTCTCTCTTCAGGAATAAAGTCAGACTGGTTGATACTGAGATTCTATATGGGTTAAAAACTTCAGAAAATGCATCTCAAGTCTAGAAATTGGGATTTCATCATCACTAGCAACTTTTGAAGCACTCCCCAAGGGCACTTTTCCATCAGCAAATGGTGGTGGAGCTGGGAACAACATACAGGAGTGGTATTTGTCTCACCACCTCTTGCATTAATTTCTGGCAGGTATTTGTTATCAGACGATGTGACTGTAGTATTTCAGTGTAGAGTAGTAAATAGAAACATGCTTCTTTGTGGCAACTCATAGAATCATAGGATTGCTCAGGTTGGAAAAGACCTTAAAGATCATCAAGTCCAACCGAAACCTGACCATATTGCCCTAATTCTAACAACCTCCTGTGCCATTCCCCAGGCAAGAGAAATCCTCAGAGGAAATCAGCATCGAAATGCAGGGTAAGGAATTCACCTGAATGCCTGGCCTTGGCTTCAGCTGATCCCTAGAGGTGTTCAAGGCCAGATTGGATGGGGCCCTGGGCAGCCTGGTCTAGTATTAAATGTAGAGATTGGTGGCCCTGCTTGTGGCAGGGGGGTTGGAGATTCATGATCCTTGAGGTCCCATCCAACCCTGGCCATTCTGTGATTCTGGCTATTAAAAGGTTATGCTGAACCCACAGATGAATTTCCCATGCTCTTTTCTGAGGAACCTGGAGATCTTCCCTCTAATGGCAGTGGACCTGTCCTGAAAAGAGTACCTGTTCAGCCTGGGACAGAGGCAGAGGCAAGACTGTATGTTGTGTGTAGGACTGGAATTAGTATGTCCGAAACTCTGAGACCAGTTTTGTTACAGGTCGCATTGTATCACTCCTTATTCTCAACCCATAGGCAGTCTCCACCTGCATTTTAGTGATGTGGACTGGTTAGATAGCAAGGAGGGTTTCCAATTTATGGATGTTGAATGCCAGAAGTAGTCCAGAGATGGTATGTAGTCTTTGTCCTCGGAGATAGATAAAACTTTATCAGGCATGGTCTCAGAATCATATAATCATTAAGGTTGGAAAAGACCTTTAAGATCAAGTCCAGCTGTCTACTCATCACCACCATGCCCATTAAGCCATGCCCTCCATGACACATGTCCACGTTTCTTGAACACATCCAGGACTGTGACTCCACCATCTCCCTGGATGCCTGATCACTCTTTCAGAGAACAACTTTTTCCTGATATCCAACTTGAACCTCTCCTGGCTCAGCTTTGAGACCATTCCCTCTTGTTCTGTCCTATTGGCTTGAGCAACCTGCTCTAGCTGACCCTACTTTGGGCAGGGTGGTTGGCTGGGATAGTCTCCAGAGTTCCCTTCCAACCACATGTACTGCTTGATGCTTCCAAAAAAGACTCCAAAGGATCTATCTACTTGGAGTCAGGCTGAGCACTGACAGCTTAATCTGTAAAGGATAAGGAAATGTTATTGCCTGAGGAGGAGGCATTTCAATGTGTGCAGTCAGAAGTAATAAAAATGACATTGAGCCTCTTGGGCTTTGAAGATCCAGATTTGACAAGTTCAGGATTTTCTTCGTAGCTATAGAGGTGATACCCTTTAAAGATGAGAGTCCTGCATACTGCATTTTTTAGTATTGGAAGCTTGTACAAAAGGTGAGGAAAATAATCAAAACATGTCTATTATCTGTATTAACATCATTTAGTGGGACTGGGTAAGAAATTAGGCATCCTCCTGCTTGGAGTTCTCCCAGCTGATAAGGCAAGGGCACATCTGTTCTTAGGAAGAAAGGATTCGTGAATACAACCCAAAAGGGTAAAATTGTGGTCCCCATGCATTAGTCTGATCTACTTCTCAAGTGTACACTGCCCATACTGGTGACTTTCTTGTATTGTATTTCTCTATGTTCTGATATGCTTTGAGGACTCATCTGTATGATAATTCCTAATCAGAGTTTAGGACTGGTCATGAACATCCGTAAGTAAGACATTCCCTGTGTTGTTTGTTCCTTCCTCACAGGCTTTCCCAATGCCACAGTTCATCTTTTATGTTTTGTGGTTGAGAGTTATTCCTTGCTTTTGTCCAATACAAATGAAGAGAGTATTTTACTCCCCAGGTTTTAACCACAGCTTTGCAGCTTTGAAGGTTCCTGTTTTCCATCTGTCATCCATTCCATAGGCAAAGCAACTCCATTTACTTATTTTTTTCTGTGCAGGTCACGTTTTCTTGACCTGTTGTTATTCTCCAATCTCACTCTGGACTCACTTCTGCCACTAGAAAATGTTTATTGTAGCTTTTTGCCTACAGCTGAGGGCTGTGCAGTATGGTGTTAAGTAAAAGGTTTACTTCACCTGTCCAGAAGATTGTAGAAGATTGTAGCTGACCTAAATTATGTAGTGTTTTATTTTGTTTTTTTAAGGCATAATTTCTGGTTTATTAGGATTGTTCTGAGTGCTGAAGCTGTCCTCTACTCTGTCACGTCACATGTTTTTGTTCTTGCATTGCACTGTAGGTTATAGGATAAAGTTGTGATCAGATTTCTTACTGTGTCCTTTTTTCTGTATGTAATATGTTATACAATGCTTGTTCCAATTTATATGAACTGCCTTCACAGCAAGTCACTTGTCTGTCACAGCAAGTTGGACAAGCCTCCCTGAGGAGCAGCAGACAAAAGAATTGGGAGGTGACATGGGGATGGGAAGATAAATGCTTTTAATGCCTATCAAAGGAAAGGTATACAAATATGCTCTCACATTTCCCTGTAACCACATTACTACATGGTAGGAGTGTTCCAGAGCTGTGTGAATAAGGGATATTTCAGGGGCTTAGTAGGTTGGGGTGGGAGGTGGTTGATTCTAAAACAAAACCAAAATATTTTACTTTTGATTCTTTTTTTTCTTTATCTCCTTGAATGGAGAAAAATACCTTCCTCATCTCCCCTTTCACACCACTCTGTTGGGGAAAAAAAATACATTCACTGTTTGCCAGAGGAATGCTTGCCCAGTTGTAATCGAGTCATCTCAATGACATGATGTAGACTTTCACTCCACAATAGTGGCTTTTCAGAAGCCATTGCAGCATATGTCTCCAGTTGCCCATTTATAAAAAGGAGAAATGAATCACGATCAACCTATGTATAGAGGCAGTTTTCCAGATGCTGGATTGTTCAAATTCCCTGCTTACTGTGGTTTTAATCTGTAGCCACACTGGGATTTTAAGCTCCTTATCCCTGCCCAGAACTTTTTCTCTGTCTGTTTCCTATGCACCCTTATTTTCCAAGGTGGAAGATAAGGGTCTTGATAGTTCTTGAGTTCCATGAGACCTGGGAGAGACAGGATTTGTTTCCCAGTCCATCAGCCTCCCCGAGTGTATCTTCATCTATTTCATTTAGAGTTTATGAAGAACTTATATCAAGACGTGATAGATTATTCTTCTGCAAGATATATGGCTTTGCATACTTGACACGATCCAACTGTTATATTCTCTAGTGTCTTGGAAACCCATGGGTTTCAGGTGGTTTCTCTTAACTTTTACTCTTCATTCCCTTATTTTCTGATCGAAGACTGTTTACCTAAAATGTAGCATTTATGTTGAAGAGGTATCTGCACTCTCAGATGCCAATTATATGTTAATCTCCTTTAAGAGAATGGTGAATAGCTTAATGAAGAGCTACTCAATGAGCAGTGATGTCTTCTTTTTTTAGTGAGTAAGTCCCTACTTTCTGCCTCATGATTTTCTGCTCGGGACATTTTAACCCAGTTTTGATGTAAAGAGGCAGCAGCTGGGTTTGGTTCTGTGTCATACCCCTTTTGATGTGACACATTTGTCTGTTTTCTTCCTTTGCTGTTGTCCTTACTGTGGTTTAGGGCTGGACTACATTTAATGCCAAAGCTCTGGGGCCACTGATGAGCCATGGGGTACCTGAGGTGTGTAGTGGGACAGGGGGAGAAGTTTTTCTCTGTCAGTGCTGCAGTGATTTCAGTCTGCTGCTTCTGCTACTTCAGAAGCTTATGGTATAGAAGCAAACGGTTTCTTCAGAGCTCGTCAAGACTCTGATGTGATGGATAGACTCCTCGCCAGCTCTGTAGCTGTAGTATTCCAGAAGACAGCATTATCTTTTTTGATCAAGTCCCTATTTCTTGCCTACCACCTTTACATCGCAAGACATGTCATAAACATCAAGGAATTAAAGTCTTGCCGTGGCTCAAACAGAGGAGTGGTTGCCACTTTCACAGGAGGAAGTAAGGTGCAGAGAGGTCAGATGACTTGCTTGCCCCTAGGATCATCTGTAGTCCAGGAGATCTGGATTTTAGTGTTTTTGTTCTGTGGGTGACCCATACTGAAATTTGTACTTAGGACTTTTTTTTTCACTTATTTTTCCATTTGCCTTCCCTCCTTCCCCTGAAGTTCTGGGATTTAACTGACATTTAACAGTGTATCTGTCTTTTTCTCTATTTTCTTAGGTTTAAAATACAATCCTGCATCCACTGCTGTCTAGAAAATGTCTTATGGATCCATTGATGGGAGTGGATTTGGGAGGAACCCATTTGGAGGCCCTTCGAGACAAGGCTATCAACCTCTCGGTAAAGTATTTATGCCTTGTAATTTATTCCTCCTGATATTCTGGGGAATGAGGTTTTTACTGAATGAGGTTCAGTGTGGCTTTTGTATAAATATCAATCTACCTTCAGAAGTGGTTTTGGTAGAGATTTTCAAAGGTGGAACCCAAACATTTATTGGGTTCAATTTGTGTGATGAGGATTTTGGAGTTATGTTGGCGGGTTTGGAGAAGAAATTTGGTTCAGTTTCTAGACCTGATTGCAACTGTTTTATCTCCCCAACAAGAAGTTGGTCTTAATTGTTACTCCCTGGATAATCATAAGTGCTCTCATGATGGGATTAAATGGGAAGAGGTGCAAAGTGAAGAGAGTTGTGATTCTACAGGGCACTACCTAACTGCTGGGGTGGCTGCTGTAGTCTGCAAAATGTGCTTTAACATGGCACTGGGGGATAAAAACTTGCTCAGGGAGTGTTGAAACCATAAACAATGGAATGGCTTGCAAATGACTGCGTATTCTGGTTTTGTGGGTTGTTTTAAGTGAACACCAGATGGGCTTCCCTAAGCAGCTCTCTTCTTCCCCCAGAGGACTCTAGAAACACTAAAGCAGAAAGAGAAAATCATCTAGATGTCAACCTCTATATATGAAATGTTGATGCTGGGCTGGCTCATGCGTGGTGATGGAAGATATTTCTTATTCTTCCCAGCTCTGAGGTACTGTTTGAGAGGGCTGGTGCTAGCCCATGTAGGCATGGTAAAGCTTTGTCTCCAGCTGCCCAGATGTGCACCAGGTCTGGTACACATGGGGAGCTGCTGTAGGACAATATGTGGTTTAATATAGCCTGACTTTGAGCAAGCCTTGTGCACTGGAACATATTTTTGCATTTAGTTTTGAGTCTGGATCTGGCTTGTACCATACTGTGAGGCTGCAGTAGCTCTGGTGAAGGCACTTCTGAGGGTTCAGACCTTCACAGAATCATCAAGAAAGGGGGCACAGTAGCATGGGAAACGTCTGCTTTATTGCTTTGCATCTGGAAGAAATGTCACAATTCTCTTGCATTGCCTTTGGATTCAACTGGGCTGTTCATTAAGGCAGCCTGACTTTGTTTCCAAGTTGTCAAGGATCCAAATATTCCTTGGGAAATGTTTTGTTGTTTTGCAAATAGCTGTTCCCCCTGGATGAAACTATAAAAGAAGTGTTAAGGTTTTTCATGGTTTTCTGTTTTCTTGTGAGTTTGGGTACAATTACCTTTTTTTTCTTCTTTTTTTTCTTTCTTTCTTGGAACAGGGAGAATGTATTGAATTAAGTTTAAATTTTTGAACTGACTGTTTGGTTTTAAATAGTAGTTTTTAGGCTATTCCATAAGGCAAAATTAAAGGCATAAAAGCAAGGAAGAATGAGTTACTTGAGCACACTGATAGAGCCATAGGAAAAAAAAAATCAAAATGAGGAACAGATAGATGAGGGATGCCATTGCATAGTAGTTTTTTTTTTTTAAATGGTAGGTATGAATATTTACAATGATGTACAAAATACTATTTTTAATGCAAATGCAGAGAATAATTCAAGATGCTCATGGTTTCTAAATATTTGAAGAGGGACCACGCCATGCCCAGCTTGCCTGTCATTTGGTAGTTACTGCATAAAGTTGAACCTACCCTCAGTGGATTGCAGAAAGCAGCTGATGTAGGAACATCAGATTTCTCAAGATGACTATGGTCTTGAGACCATTTCACCTGCCATTTCTTCTGCATATCAGAGGTGAGAAACTGAGAAACTCCCCCCGCATTCATACATGATTTTGGGTAGGTCTGCAGTGGGCAAGTCTTCCAGATATTCCTGGGTATATTTTCCTAGCTAGCAAAAGTCAGGTCTCTTGGCCCAAACTTGGACCCTTTGATTGGTTTCAGTATTAAAAGGATAGCAAGGCTCAAACGTGTGCTTTGTCATTTTGCGATATACTATCTCAGAAAGGCATTAATGAAAGTGAGGGGAGCCTGTTTGCTTTGGCCAAGAGCAAGTTGGAGAAGATTTTCTCCTTTCTGTGTATTGAAATCAAAGATGATCCATCTGAACCTGCATATAACTAACTCACCATGCCCTTTCACCATGGCAGATTGCGTAACACGTGCCAAGTGTCTGATGGTGCAGTTTCCTCAGTTATTGCCATTAATTGTCAGGAGAGGGTCAATGTAGAACTCATCTTCTGCCTCCTGCTTCCAAAATGATTGCCTTGCTAAGAAAAATGGCTCTCTATATTACCTCATGGTATGGCTGGAACAAAAGAGCATGGCCTTCTGCTGCTGTATGTATGTCTGCTCAGAGGGGCAGACCTTGATGGACATGTCTTCCTGTGCTCTGAAACCTTCTTTTTACTGTATCTCATAAACAGATAAATAAAACATACTGGCATCCTGGCATATGGATACTCATAGCATGTGGTCCAGTACACATAAGTAAGTAAGTAATAATAAGTCCAGTAATGTTCAGGTATCCGACAGAAAACCCTGGCATCTTCCAACAATAGAAGAGATGAGGATGCTGCTGCTTAATAGCATTTAATGCAATCATAACAAAGAATTATAGAATGGCTGAGGTTGGAAGGGACCTTAAAGGCCATCTAATTCTAATGCCTCTGCCCTGGGCTGGTTGCCACCCAATAGATCAGGCTGCACAGAGCCTTATCCAACCTGGCCTTGAACACCCTCAGGCATGGGGCATCCACAGCTTCTCTGGGCAGCCTCTACCAGTGCCTTACCACCCTCTGTGTAAAACATGTCTTCCTGACATCAGTTTAATGCTGTTCCGCCTTGTCCTGTCGCAATCAGACCATGTAAAAAGTCAGTTCTTCTCCTTGTTATAAGTTCCCTTCAAGTACTGGGAGGATGCAGTGATATCTCTTCGGAGTCTCCTCTCTGTCAGGCTGAACAAGCCCAATTCCCTCAGCCTTTCTTCATAGGAGAGGTGGTTCAGTCCTCTGAACATCCTCATGGCCACTTCAAGAGCTTTTGATTATGAACTAGCAGGGAAGTTACGAGTGGGAGCCCCAGCTAGAATCTCAGAGGCTAGAGAATCTCAAAGGTTTCTGAAGGAGACTGCTTAGGTTACTTGGAGCATAGCAGGTTTGTATGTTCACAGCAAGGGAACATGTAATCCATGCCGTGCTCTGCAGTTGTAAGTTAGATGTTGATGGAGAAGCAGCATCTGCATCTCCTTCTTGTTCTGTTCCCAAAAATCCATGGAAAAGCAAACATTCCCCTGTTACCCTGTGTGCTTTTCTCTGGCTTTTAGCTGTGTAATGGCATTACATAGAGAAGTTGGAAAATAGCAGGAAGTTAGCAGAAAATTGCTTTTTTTTTTTTTAAAGAAAAACCCGGCAATGGGAAAAAAAAAAGATTTTAAGTAGTGTGAGATGTCAGAAATAGAGACCAAACACTACACAGCAGAAGGAATTAAACCCTGAATTCGTAAGCATGTACCATGCACCCTCTGCTTGTTAGACCTGTTCTCCTAAAAATAGTATTTCTGTGGGGAAAATGAACAAAATCTGATGTACGCAGGGGGAGTCATAGAGGTTGGGGAATTCAAACAGCTTGAATTAAAATGCCACAAGCCAAGAATTTTTAAACACTGCTTTTATTAACCTTACTGTGCCCCGGATGTTACGAGCCAGATTTGAACAGGTCATTTCATATTCCATAGGTGTAATGCTTCTAGGTATTCCCATGGGAGCATTAGTTCAGTTCTTAATTTTACCATGACTTCATCTATACTGTTTTTGCTTTGGTTGCTCGTGAAGGTATCACATGGGACACTGACCAGGGTTATTCTCAACATAAGTAGCACGTGCAGCTTTCTTTTTCTTTGCTAGGTTGGCTTGTCTTGTCAAAGAACAAAATCAGCTTGGTCTGTGCAGCTTGGCAGCGTTTGCTCTGTACTTATCTCCTAATTATCATTCTGATACTTTGCAATTGATTGTTATATAACTTGAGTTAATATTTTTCCAAAAATTAGGCCTGTAATTTCCTTTACCCTCCCCTGAGGTGGTTGGGCTGTCCTCTCTGTGTCTCCCTCATCCTATTTTGCTCTTCTAACAGTTTTGGAAAGTGTTTCTTACTTAAAAATACATCTTAAGTTTCATTGTTGCCTGCAGTACCCTGAAGGGGACAAGGGGAAATGGTTTCAAAGTTACAGGGGAATATTTATACAGTTTTTTTACAGTGAAGGTGGTGAGGCACTGGAACGGGTTACTCAGAGATGTGGTGGGTGCCTTGACCATGGAGACAAGGATCAGACTGGACAGGACTCTGAGCACCCTGATGTAGCTGTAGGTGTCCCTGTTCATTGCAGGGGAATTGGACCTTTAAGGATGGACCAAAGGATGACTTTTAAGGGCCCCTTCCAGCTCAGACTTCTCTATGATTCCATGAAATTGCAGAGTTTACGTAATACATGGGTGGGAGATGCTCTCATCGGTCTTAAACAAGGAAACTAGGAAAATCCTGGTTTACAACCCAGCCTGATCACCACATAGTCCTGTGTTGCCTCCCTTTGTAGATCAGGACTGGTGGCAAAGCATGGGAAGGAATCCAGCACCAGCTTTGCTCTTGATCTTGGAGTGCACTGAAGCACTTAACAAACTCCTAAATACACAAGGAGTCTCCTTAGGTTAATAAACATTAAGCAGGTGGTTAATGCTTTTGCTTTATTGAGACCTGAGTGCTGCTGTGTTTTAGCATTAACTTCCCAAGGGACTTGCAGTGTTTTGTTTCAGGAATGTTGAAACTCTTTGTTGTTGCAAAGTACTGAACTATGGAGACAGTGTGTGAGATGCTCTAAATTGGATCATGGCAACTGTTCCCTCTGGAGCAATGAGGGGCCTGAGCATGAGCTTGAGTTTCCTTAGTATACAGCATTATATGAGGAAAGAAAGAGTTAACAGTTATAGAAGAAAGTAAGAACAGAATAACGTAGGGAGACTAAAAAATTTAGAGCTGCTATGCACGTTAAGGGTTTTTCTTGTG